ACACAATATATCTTTTTAGGCATTGGATGTATTTTATAAATGTTAAAAAATGTGATTTTTACGAATATTTAAAAATGTGATGAAACGGGTGCGTTTTGAGAAACTTATAGTTGATTAACATAGTCCAAAACACTAATTTTTTTTTTACACTTTAAAATGAACAATTTTTTTTCGAGTGGAAAAATACAAGTAGTAAATGTCCCTATTCGTGGAATATGTCCCTATTTATGGAATGTGAAAATTCATGTATATGTCATACAACTTAATTGATAAAAAAATTGTGGTAGTTGTATATTTTATGTATCTTTATGAATTCGCAAGAAAAATTTTATTTTACACACAATAAACGACCAATTTTAAAGATAATTACATAAACAGGGACAAAGTAGTACATAACCTATCTTTTGAACTGTACGTATTATGGCACCAAACTTCAACAAGGAATTTATATACTTCTGGTAAACAAATAAATGATATAATTATTTTTTTAAATAAAATATTGTTATGCAAGTAAAAAAACTGTAATTGTCTCAAAATATTATACTAAATTTACGTTTTTTAAAAAGTTTCATAAATAGGGACATGATGTGAAACAATAGGTTTCATAATTATGTACATTCTGGTCTTACAATCTTTTTATAAAATAAAGTATTTTAAGAATTAAGAACCATATTTAAAAATTAGAATAATAATGGTAAATTTATAGCTCACCAGCTAATACCGAAATTTTTACTGTTAAAGCTCACAGTTAAGAAAAGAAAATCGAAGAAGCAAGTATAATAAAATTTATAGTTGTAATAAGGACATTTACATTACCCACATGGGAACATCTAAATTTTTATGATTAAATGTGTGCCTTCCGGAGAGTCTGAAGTTGATTGAAACCGTCCAGAAAAGTAGTTTTTTTTGCACTTTAAAATTTTTTTTTTAAGTTCTAGCCGAGTGGTAAAATACAATTCTCAGCAGCTCAAAGGAGCATAAGACCCCACTAAAAAAATCCAAAATTTTTACTGGGAAAAGTGTTTGCTCTAGGAAGTTCTAGGTTAATTTAAACAGTCGAAAAAAGTATTTTCGTGGCACTATGGAAATCATGACTTTCGTTAAAATGCAAGTTGTTTATGAATAAAATTTTAATTTTTTTTATTAGGACTTGTGATTTTGTGCACTTGTGAGATTTGTACTTTTTCTTGATTGCAGAACTTGTCAAATTTTTTTTATCAAAATCCAAAAAATAATTCTTTATAGTTTTTATAGTAGATTATTAATGCCTTAAAACGTTTATTCTGTACATCAAAAAATATTTTTATCAGGACTGCACTCGTGAGACGTATATTTTTTATGGTCGTGAAAATTGTTTATTTTTAAGAATGAAATCCCCAAAAAATACCCGCTTTACAACTTTTAATCGTCTTGAAATGTCTAAAAATACATACTTTGTGTTACGAAAATTTTGACGTTTTTGTCAAAACTTAGAACTCCTTGCAACTGTTGCAATTTTAATTTTTCGAACTCACGGAACTTATATTTTATGTAATTACGAAACTTATGCATTTTTCATAATCAAAACAAAAACAATCATATTTTACAATATTTATAATCTTCTTTTAATTGCTGAAAACGTACCTTGTGTTCCATAAAATTTAAACTTTTTTTATTATGTCTACTAATTTTTTTTACTTACAAAGACGAGTAATTTTATGCACTCGTAGAACTTCTATTTGTTGTGATCAAGGAACTTGTAAATTTCTCAGAAATAAAACCAAAAAAATCACTCTTATGAATATTTATAAAATATATTAAATGCTCTTAAACGCATATTGTGTTTCCTGAAAATTTTTACTTTTTTATCACGGCTTATATTTTTTCGCACTCTCTGGGACTTGAATTTTTTCGTAATCATGGAACTTTTTATTTTCACCATATATAGCATTTTTAAAATTATACTTTTAAAGTATCCGCAAGTAACTCAAAATAACTTAAAACACAATGTTTTTATAATGCAAAGTTTGATTTTTTCCAATTAGGACTTGTGTTTTTTTTAAATTTAGGTACTATGATTCATTTTTCAAATATTAATTTTATCGTATTGTTATCAACTTACTTGTTTGTCTCGAACAGTTTGATATAAATAAATAATTATTGTTCGTGAAGAAAATTTGAAAAGAAGAAAATTTAATGTACAAAAAATCTGCTGACAATTTGGCATCACAAATTAGTTAATTTATCAGTCGAAAAGTCAGCTTATTTTTTTCAACAAATAGCTTAATTTCATGTATTATTTTTCACTCAATACCTTATAGCTTACTAAATTGATCTGTTTTAGCTGTAACAAATCTTGCAATTTGCAAAGTGAGAAAAAAAACGTATGGACCGTATGATTCAACGTCCAATTCCTCGAAACGCACGAATTTCACTATAAAAATCTTGGTCTTTCGTGGTCAGAATTTTTTTTTTTTTTGATATCAGAACTTGTTACTTTTTCGCGCTGTTAGGGCTGTTGTTTTTTTTTTTGCAACAATAATATTTGTAATTAATAAATGCAAGAAAGCATTCTTTTAAGCTCTATCAGAATTCGTATTTTTTAAAGTTCGAAAAAAAAGTGTATTTCGCCACTAGTTAAGAAAGTATGACTTACTATTTTATTATTAACATTACCGTTATGAATCGCATTTACTGCTATTTAGGGAAGCATTTAAACGTCATCCAAGTGAAAATTGCCCGCCAAGCTAAACAAGAGGGTGCCAACCACGTGGAGGACGGTAAAATACTTTTCTATGGGCAGTGAATGCGTTCTTTAACAGTGAGAAAATGCTGCATTTTCTCCTTTGAAATCTGTGAAAAAAAGTCATACTTCCGTTTGGGAAACAGAATAAAATAAATTTCTGCACCCTTTGAATCAACTTCAAATTTCTCGAAACGCATATACTTCACAATGAAAATTACATTTTTGGTAGTCGGGACTCGTACTGATGCACATCTGTGTGACTTGCATTTTTTTGCACCAGTGAGACTTCCTTTTTTTCAAGCAGGTAACTTGCACATTTTTTTAATCGAAAATTTTTCAAACCTCTTAATTTTCACTTCTCTCATTTTACTGTAAATGTCACATAACACATAGTTTTGATCACATAACACATGCTACTATAATTGTCTCAAAACGCATATTTTTTTCAATCGTAAATGTATTTTTTTTCCTTCGGGACTTGTATTTTTTGGCACTGATGAGACTAACTTTTTCTAGCGCACGGACCTTGTAATCTTTGCTATTGAAAATTTTCTAAATCTCTTACACTTTCCCTCTCTCATTCTACTATAAAAGTTCCAGAATGCATAGTTTTGATAATGGCAAAAAAAATTTTTTTCCTTTGAGACTTGTATTTTTCGCCCTGATGGGACTTGTATTTTTTCGCAGTCAAGAAATCAGCTGACAATTTGGCATCAGAAATCCGTTGAGAAATCAGCTGATTTTTTCAGCAGTGAATAAATGTTATCATCCGTATAGTAACACCAAAACCGGGGGATTCAAGTATTTTTTTATTTTTTTTTATTTTAGTAGTATTGTGTAATGTTGGTAAACTAAAATTTACCAGTAATTCTTTCCCACTCATTCTTAAAGAATTTCCCATATAGATTTGAAAGAAATCCAAGCAAGAATCCACGTGTATCCGAAAAGATGTGAATCACCTGCAAGTTATTCGTAGCTGCAGCACAATGACCAACTATGATTCATGCACGCGGATCTATGCTGAGCGGAAACGACAACCAAAACAAAAATAAAATAATTATAAAATTCTATTGATGCAAAAGTTTAGCTGGAAACAGCTGCACTGAGGTGTAGTATCAAATACTAGTATACACATATCGATTGAGTTTAAAAGACGCAATGTTGAAAACTAGAATAACTTAGAGTAAAGACACACAGACCAAGCGAGAATAATAGCAAATGATGGACTAACTACATATAGCGAGAAACAATCTGTACACGCCGCACTATTAGCTAACAACAGCATTACATAAACCTAGGACAGCAACCTCATCTACTTTCAAGAAACTATCCAATTTTCACCATTCATGTTCGCAGGCTTATGATTTACTGTAAAACCCTTTTGTATTGCATTGATAATTTCATAAACACACTGCAACAGTCCAATTTATAAACTAGTTTAATTCTATCACTTTTTTAAATGTAAAGGACAACGGGAAAGTCAGTCCTTCCCTTTTTCCTGACTCAAAAATGTCGAGTGAGAGAGAGAGTCTGTACTCCTACCTCCAACACAGGTAACGGAATTCCCGATTCCCCCGATAAAATTGTAATGAATATTACACATGAGGATTGCAAATTTAATATTAGTTTAAGGAGTTTGTGTTTTATTTACTCTGGATACTCTCCCACTGGTTGCATCCCTAAAATATAAAAAAACAGTTTTAAGACTACTTGAAACATCTTCTTCAAATGTATGTTTCTATTTTGGAGTGTTGCTGACTGCAACTTGCTGTTGTACATAAAAATAAAAGAATCTTAAATTTTATACTTTCGGATCTTTTTTTCGTTCAGTGATAAAAAATTCTTTCAATCAATTTTCAACAATCATTTAATTAATTATTTAAGCTATTTTCAACTGAAAATAACGCAAGGAGGTTATGTTACATGTATTGATAAATACCCATTTTAGGATATATGAGTACTAAACTCAAAAAACGCAGTACAGCAGAACGCATTAACTAACGTGTGCAAATTATATATATATATATATAAACATAAGAATCTCGGCAAGCGGACGAATCAGTGAGATTGAGTTGTGCGCTGTAGCTGCCTGTGTGGCCCCAATTATATGTAGTTAGTGTGTTTACTTATTCTTTGTTTAATAAATCCCAGTGACAGATACAAGGATACAGAAGGGTACACAAGAAAACAGAAGTGGTTATGGAAATCACCCACGTGATTATTTGTTTTCTTTTTCGTTGAAATTCAAGCTTGTGTACGTTGTGTTTCTGCAAAAATGTCTAATACAGTGGCAGACGATCTTAAAGCGGATCTTCAAGAAGTGAATCGCCTCAAAACTAACAGACAGGCAGAAATAGAACATTATGAAGCAGAATTGGCGGCTTTTAAGTTAAAATTCAAACGGCTTCGAGAAGGTAGTCAAGACAGTGGAAATTCGGCTGTCTCGGCTCTATACCAAGCGCTCTTGGCTTTAAGTGACCGGCTTCAAAATCAGTCAGCCCCAGTAGCTGGAATGCATGAGACTATTCGAGAATTTTCAGGTAAGGAAGAACCAGAAAGTGCTAGTGCGTGGATAAGTGATTTACATGATGCTAAGTCACTTTTCAATTGGAGTGATGCGGTTGCATTTAGCATTGCAAAGTCTCGCTTGAAAGGGGTGCTCTAAAATGGCTGTTGACGAAAACCGGAATTGTGACAAATTATGGTGATTTTCGCGAAGCATTCAAAAACGCTATTTCTTACCAAGGCTCTCGGAGTGGCAAGTTAACAATGCTTACGCGATCGCAAGGAGCTCGGGAGTTTTTGCAAGATTACATCCTGGATAAAATTTGGCTATGCGGTGGTTTAGACTTGACCGTTGATGATATTCGAGACGAGGTAGCGTCGGGTTTGTTTTCAAGAGATTTAGCTCAGTATGTTCTCGGAAAAAGCTATCAAACAACCGATGCGATGCTACAAGACCTTGTGAGAGTTCACGGTATTCATGGGTGTCGGATCGAACGCTTCGAGGCTCAGAAAGTTTCTTGGAATCCAAGGCAAAGCGGTAAACAAGGCACATTCAGTCAGCAGACGCCGGCGAATGTCAACAACGCCAATGCTGTGCCACCGTCAGAGCAACAGCGGGAAAATAAAGGACAGTCGGATGTTCCAGGAAATTCAAGGAAACCTCGAAATAAAGGTGCGATAAAATGTTACAACTGTCGTAAAAAAGGATACGTAGCACGCGATTGCGATTCTTCTAAGCGAGAGATTTCATGTTTTATTTGTAAACAACTTGGGTATATTGCCACCCGATGTCCTAGTAATTCTTTGCGTAACAAAAAAGAATCACTCTTTCCTAGTGAAGTAAATGCTATTCATTCAGCTACTGCTATTAATTGTTTTTGTTCGTGATGTCCGCGTCAGTAATTTTAAAGCGACCGCTCAAATTGATATAGGTGCAAACGTATGCACAGTTACGTCTAGCTTTGTTGATCGCGGAGGTTTTGAAAAGGTGCATGCTAGTTCACAACTCGGTGCATTTGGTAACACAGTTGTAGAGTCTTGCGGTTTAATTAACAAAGTTTTGTATTTTGAAAATTTAAAGCCTCGTAACCTAAATTTTCGCATTGTGTCTGATTCTGCACAGCGTTATGACGTCATTTTAGGCCAGCCTTTTACAGAAGCCGACAACATTAGTTATTTGTGAGTTGGGACGGTGTTAAAATTTTTTGATACTGACTTGGAAAATTCTAAAGGTAATTTCATTATGTCACAGGCTACTGAACGGGTAGTTTTAGAGCTGGGTATTCGCTACGTGCACAATTTTGAAGCAGCGCCATCCTAGGGAAAAACGAGAACTATTGGTCTGGCACAGCAGAAGGCAATATTCGCGATATGTGCTTGATACCTATAGGAACACAGCACCTCGATAGATACACGAAAGGCTCTGTGTTTATTATATCACGAATTAATACAATGTCTCAAGTGGTACAATCCTATGTGAATAACTAAGGACAAAATTTGTACTACAAGCACTATAAGCGCTTGAGTATTACTTCAACACAAGTCCGTGCACTGTGTGATACGAGATATGTTTTATTAGTTTGCAATGTAGTCAACACAGACGATCAGACCTCCTCTGACCAATCAGAGAGCTCCGTTAGCCCTATACCGGCGTGTTCACACAGTATGTACACACGTTCATACGATACGCTTAGAGGATCAGGCCTTAGCTAAAAACTCTAAGAAATACACAGTATCCAATGTATTTCACTGCGTTTTTTAATGAACATGCCTGAATAAAATATGTACATACTACTCATAATTTTATTAAAAATTTAACCCTTAGAATGGTTGTCGATGTATAAACACATAACTTTCTGATGATAGCAATGCTTAGCAGTCTGCTAGCAGAAGACAAACCTATCGTTTAGTTTCACATATTAGCACAGGTATTGCTGCGATCGCTTTTTCAGTTTGTGCACGTAACGAATAGTGCAATTGATTCACATCAAATTAAATTGTTGTTGTACCTATGCCGAATTGTTGTATTACCTATGTTGATGTACCTTGCTCTGATGCAAATTTAACTCTAAAATTGAAAAAGTGTAAATTTGGCGTGCGCAATATTGAGTATTGAGGCTTTGAATTACAGCCAGGACCGCGAAAAATCTTAGCAATCGAAAATTTTCCGCCACCGATCGATAAACATTCCCTACGACGGTTTCTCGGTCTAGCAAGCTTCTTTCGAAGATTTGTACCTGGTTTTGCCTCTATTGCCAAACCAATGAGTCGCTTGCTAAAAGAAAAAGAGAACTTTGTGTGGGGCAGTGAACAAGAAAAATCTTTTGCATCTATTAAAGAAATTTTACTGAGCAAACCAGTGCTTAAAATGTACAATCCGAAGGTTTTCAATACTGAATTGCATACCCATGCGTCAAGCTTAGGATTAGTTGCAATGCTTTTGCAAGCGGACAAAGATGGGGACTCACTTCGATTGGTTTACGCTATTAGTGGCTGTACTAATGAATGTAAGGCAAAGTACCATTCGAGTCGACTTGAGTTGCTTGCAATAGCATGCGCACTCGGGCGATTACGATCTTTCTTAATTAGCATACATTTTGTAGTTGTTACGGATTGCCAAAGTCTGGTACACATGAATGTTTGGAAGACATATCAAATGCGCAGATTGCTCGTTGGATGAGCCAGATCTCAGAATTTGATTTGGAAATTAGGCATAGGCACGGTGAATGTATGCAGCATGTAGACGCGTTGTCAAGAGCCCCTGTGAGCGAAAATTTTGATTCTGTTGAAAATGTATTGTCTATTAATTCGTTTGAAGACGAAATTTTATTATTTCAACGGTCCTATTCTGATGTCGCGGAAATTATTAAAATTTTACAAAAAAGGGTAAATAATCGTGTAATACATAAAAAGATTAAAGCGAAAGATTAAGTTTGAAGAGGAGGTTTATTGTATAAGAGGGTTTTGCGAAATGGTCGTATGCGTAATTTGTTCGTGGTCCCGAAAGCAATGAGAAAATTTTTAGTTATCAGAAACCATGATGTCTCTAGTTACTTTGGGCTGGATAAGACTGTTAAGAAAATTTCTGATTACTATTATTTTCCCCACTTGCGTCAGTATGTGTGCACACATATTAAAAATTGTTTACCGTGTATTCTAACAAAATCAAAGTCAAGCAGGAAAGAGGGTTAATTACATCCGATTCCCCCAGGTCGGCGACCTTTTGAAATTGTTCACGTGGATCATGTAGGTCCGTTTCCTACTTCAAGTAGGGGTAAAACGCATATTTTTGGAATAATTGATAACTTGACTCGTTTCTCCTTTCTCGAGACCATTTCAAGCGTTTCTGCTAAGGTTACTGTTAAAAGGTTTGAAGACTTCGTTGCTCGTTTCGGCGCCCCGGGTCGTATTATTTCAGACAGAGGGACTAGTTTTACATCTCAATTATTCCAGGAATTTTGCGTAAAGCATAGCATAAAACATACCCTAAACTCTTCGAGATATCCACAAGCAAACGGTTTGATTGAGCGTTTGAATCAAACTATTATACCGGCGTTAAAAATTGCTGCGTGTGACAATGAACAAAATTTTGACAAAGCAGTAAAAAGAGTTGAGCGCAATTTGAATTCAACCGTCAGTGCGGCCACGGGAAAAACGTCGTTTGTATGCTCACTTGGTTACAAACCAAGATTTGAGGAGGAAAATTTGAGAGAAGTAACCAAGCATTGCGAAGTTTACAAGCATCCAAGTGACATTCAATGTAAAATCCGAGAGAACATTCTCGAGGAACAACTGCGATATAAGAAAAATTTTGATAAGAATCGCCTACTAGCACCAATTTTTAACATGGGAGATATCGTTTTTATGAAAAGGGCTTCAGTAAGCTCTGGTTACTCCACTAAACTTCAACCTTCGTATTTTAGACCATTGGTAATCTTTGGTGTTGGGCCGAGCCATACATATCGCGTTAAATATTTTGACGAATCACGACGTAATTTTAAGACAACAGTTCATGCATCGCAACTAAAAATATGGTCTAATAATTTGTCTTCGGATGATCTAAATGTCGTTGGAGATGATGAAAATTATTTAAGCGAAACTGAGTCCGTTGCTTATGATTGTGAAGACCATGTTGAGAGAGGAGTGGAATATTTACCACAACCTTCCATTTGTAATCTTAATAATCGATCAAACTGAATTACAAAGAAACCGAAAAGATTTGAAGATTATAAAAAAATGTATAAACATTATGATCGGATTCAAATTTGAGAATTACTTTATTTTAATTATGTGATTGCTAGGAAGTTTAAGGGACCAAACGTTATTTCTGGATGGCCGAATGTTAGCATTTAGTTTCTTGCCTCTTATTTTTTATGCATATATGTTGCGAGCGTCGAGAAAGACACGCCTCTTCTATCCATGCTACTTAAAAATTTGTATACTAAGATATCTATGGACATTAAAGTTACGAAGTAGGGGATATAGGATTGGAGGCTTAACCAGGGGCGAAGTGCGAACGTTGCGAGCGCTGTGTGAGCAGAGATTCATTCGGCGCGAGAGAATCTTGGCAAGCGGTCGAAGCTCTGTCGCGTGAGCCCTGCATTGTAGCTGCCTGTGTAGCCCCCCAATTATTTGTACTTAGTGTGTTTACCTATTCTTTGTTTAATAAATCCCAGTGACTTTCATTTTATTGAATACATCACTTGATTTATTTTATCTCTCCTTCCTTCCTTTGTAATTTACGGTCAGGGAATCCGAATTTTGGAAGACAAACGGTAACATATTTATATTCATGTGTGTATAGATGTGTATACAGATTGTACGTACTTTCGTAGACTCATAGTCTCATACGTGATACCTTGGTGTAAGTGTAAGTAGTAGAAAGTATTTATTACCTAGCTAGGCACTAGCTAGCGCCAACCGCCAACATCACGCCCCGTTACAAGCTTACCTAGGCCTTACCGTGGCATCATAGCTAGTAGACGACTCGCTTAAGCTCTGAGTTATAAATTTGTTGTTCGAAAGGGCGTTTTGTGTTTTTCAACGTATTTTTTTTACGCTGATTACGGAAAAACTAATTAAAAAGTTTTTAAATAATTGGATCAATATGAAAATCGCGTCTGAAGTTTATTTTACTCATATCTCTTTAACGGTAACAGATACGACAAAAATATAAATACCAGCGTATAGGGCGGAAAATTTTCTGTCTATTTGATCTATTACATATCTTCAGACAAGCACGAAACTATTCTTAAAAAAATCAATTAAGCGTTTGAAACACTTGCTGTAAGAGTGAGTGAAAAGGAGAGAAAGGCGGTGGTGCGCCAGCCACGATGAGCTATATAATCTACGATCCATACTCCCTCCATGCTCCACTATACATGCGTGCGTTGTATACGTATATAGATCACAATGCTGGGCAAGAGAGAAGCAAGAGAGGGGAAGCAGCAGCGAAAGCAAATGCTGCACGGAGAGGGAATTCACACGTTGAACGCATGGAGAACAACGCAAGGGAAGCCGCATGCGCTGAAAGCCAGCTAACCTCCATGCGTTCAACGTGTGAATTCCCTCTCCGCGTGGATTAGATAGAATATTCTTCTTTTTCAGGTTGCGGGCCACGCACTAAAATATTTCTAAGTCCTCAAAAGATATTTAACGATGAAAAAAAAGGTCTCTGAGTAAAGAGTTTTTTTTACGCTTCTTTGTATTTTCTATCGATTGGAAATAGAGTTTTTTTTTAATTTTTTTTTTTTTTATTTAATTTTAGAAATAATAACTCGAACTTTATTGTTATTTGGCTCTGGTAAACACGTCCGTTTGGGCATATTGTGCATGAACGTAAAAGAAAAGTTTTAATTTTGGCATTTTTAACAGTATTTCAGGAAAAAAACTGTTTTGCAATTCAAACACTGCAAAAATCTCACATATGTTGTAGAGAACTAAACAATGCTTATCGATTGTAATAAAAATGAACAAAAAACATTTTTCGCTACGGTTTAAAAAAAAATGGCAAGAATTTTAAAACACGATTTTTAGCGTCCGAAACGAACAAGCCAAAAAAAAAAAAGGCAAAAAAAACAAAAAAAAA